CTATGTCACCGATGTCTGCCATACACTAACAGTGACAGGGCAACGGCTTGGCTTGGACCTGAAGCCTGGCTGGAGTGGGCTGGTGGAGACCGTGTGGGATGTTTCAGCTCCAGACAACCCACTGCAAATTGGCCAGACGAGGAGGACAGTCGTACCGGTCCTGCTGCACGAGGGGTTTTAAACCTGCCGCCACCTTCCCACACCCCGCACTCCCATTTGAATCCCTGCGTGAATTTTTTCTCCAGAAGAAACACTCCTGGTTTACTGTTTTCCTGCTCATCAGATGTTATATATAGAGAGGGGAAAAATCTATTTGACAGTAACATTTTGAAACAGTATGTTTAGACAGAGTATAAAGGAAAAAATATGGCAATACCTTGCTCTCTGTGCAATGCTTCTCATGCCCAGGGCTCAGCTAAACCAATCGAGCTAAAATTGCATTATCTTAAATTCATTTTGTTAATTACTAATTTTGTTAGAGACCTACCAATCAAGATCAAAGAGGAGAAAAGAATGAGTGAAGTAATTCTATTCATTTCCTCAGAAGCTCAGAAAATGAGCTTTTTTCCCTAACTCTGTTACTAATAAATATCCTGAAGGCCAGATACTGGCACAGCCCATCCAGTTTCAAGTTGCACACCCCGTTCAGTGCAGCAGAGGTGAATGTACGAACCGTGGTGAGATGCAACAGGAAAACCCACCAGCTTTGAATTCTTCAAACACAACAGTAAGGTCTCTTAGCCATCAGGCCACACCATCTCTGATATTTCTCTGACCCCCAAGAGAGCAGCCTCAACAGCTAACGTCTGCTCATGCCCCAAATTACTGGTGTCACCAATACACTTGGCCATGCAGACTGTAGAAAATGTGCACCTGCTCTTGTGTCACACCGGGAAATTTGGGTTAAGAACTTTTTGGAAATCTGAATTCCCAGGCTGGCTATTGGTTTCTCCAGAGTCTTTTAAAAAACTACTGCCTTGCTGCCTCTGGTGTGTGGAGGACGGGCAGACTGCTAAGGTCGGCAAAGCGTGACTCCTTGCACCCCTCTGTGACATTTTTTGGCTTTGTTTTGATTTTATTAACCGAGTTAATTTTTTTTTTTTTTTTTTACAGAGCTAATTGAATGAATTTAACATGGTAAAGACTAGATTATTTCCTGACATTTTACATTGTACCCTGACATAAAGATCAGGGAGGTAAAGAGTGATTAATGTAGATTTTGTGTGAACTGTGCAAGAGCAGCGGATCCCTCGCTCGCCTTCTCTGCGCCCACCACGCTGCGTTTCACAGGGGTTACAGCCTTAGTCTGTGTCTGGACAAGAAGGACCGAAGCAACGCACGTAACCTACAATTTATTCACATTTTGCTTGTTGCCAGCTGCAAAGTTGTTTTGTTGTTTTTTTTTTTTTTTCTTTGCAGAAAAAAACAGTTGCAGAAAGGTGACAGCGATTGGCAGTTACTGAATTTTGCATTGATGGCAGGTGTGTGAAAGAGTTAAAGCAGGGCAGGCTGAGAAAAACCAAGGGCAGAGGAAAACGTGCGTGTGGGAAAGGCAATCTTCAGCAGTAGCTGCGGAGCCTAGATAGCACGTATGTCTGAAGGGGAAAAAACTCACAAAAAGACCCCAAACGCTGCGGTTTTGTAGGCTTTGCAGGACACCCTGTGGTTTATGGATACCCACAGTGCAGCATTTGGGGGGTAACACTGGGAGAGGTGGGGATCTTGCTTGCAAAGGGGCGAATAAGTAGCAAAATGGTAAAGTGCTCATCTGCAAGTAAGCATCACAGCACAATCAAATTAAATGTAATTCGAATAAGATTAAATTTAAACGACAATGACATTAAATCCTAGCTCCAAACCTCATCAAACTCACTAAAAGCAATTTCCAAAACTGTAACCATGCGGGGATCTAATAAAGTTTTCATTAGAGAGGAAGTGTTTGACTCAGCCTGTCACTTAGCAATATGAGGGGTTTTTTCCCCTGTTATGGAAGGGATGCAAACAGCTGTAATAGTTTCCTTTCTGTTTTACCAAGTACCAAGGCCTGACTGAGTTTGTTGGCAATGCTCTAAAGGCACCGAATTCTGAGCCCAACTAACTTATGCTAAAAATGCTCTTTGTTCCTCCCTCTTGAGCTGTTGGCAACGCAGGTACGCTGAAGCTCGCAGCCTGCTCTGCTTTTTGCTTTGCTGGAATTACCCACCATATAAACCCAAGAGGCAGAAGCCTTCTCATTTTCTTCTATTCACCAGTTAGTACAAACTGAAACATCTAAATATGCTTAAAAGACCTTCAGATTAAAATTGAGTGAAATCCCTGGGTATGGGGAGATTGCAGTAAAGAAGAGGGCAGTTTGGTTACCTAAGTGCCAGGTTTTTGAAATATCCAGATTTTGCAAGATTCTAGTTTAATTCCTACTGAAGTAAGCTCCAAGGCATGGTATTACAGATGTCTGTTATCAATGTCTTCTTTTCATTCTGTTTTTTTGATGGTGGCAAATGCCATATATGAGCTGCTCAAGGAGGTGACGAGCTGTGTTCCCATGTGCCAGCACGCTTTCCCTCTTGCTGTGCTGGGACGTGTCGCCCCTGTTTCCTAGAGACTGACAAGTGCATAAAAGAGGGCCTGAATTAGTCAAAAAGCTGGCTATGTGGAGAAAAACTTAGTGTTTCTGTTAATTATCCTCATAAAACAAAATAAATTGGAAGAACAGAGCATTCTAGAGAGCATTCTGGTGTCCAAAAGCAGTTTCATCTGCCTCCCCTTCTCTAGTAATATCTTGGACCTTTAAAGAAATAGGAATTAGTTTATCACCAAAATGTCTTTTTTTTATTATTGTTTATTTCTTTAAGAAGCAACATATTTGTTGTTAGCATGTAACGGATTCCTGAAATGCAGCATCCAGCTGGTGTAATGGACACAGAGGGAAAGGATGGTAATGAAACCCAATTTAACTAATGAGTGTAATTTAGAGAGAGACTTTATTGCAGAGTTTCACGGGAAATAGTTTAGAAACATTCAGCCTGTGGGAAAGAAGGGTTTTGTGGTTCCTCAAAAAGCCTTGCTTCAATCTGTAGAAACACATAGTGGTTTTTTATTAGTTAATGTGAGCAACTGAAGATGCTGTGTGCAATCATGAAAACATACTCCAGCGCTTCCCTAACCGACGGAGAGCTGCCTCCGGGCTGTCCCATGAGATGTCCCTCTGAGCCCAGGCGAGACGCAGTTCGTTGGGGTCTGCACCCAGTATTTAATTCAGTCCGTTGTTAGCTTTCAAACCTGCAGTTTGCTGTGCACAGCTGCCTCTTGGCGCTTGCAGAAAGGAATTTCTTGGGGGTTCCAGGTCCCCATCAGCATGGCAGGGTGCAATGGGACGAGCCGCACAGCCCCATGTCCCTTCCTCCCCACTGCGGTGCGTTGGCCCCAAGATGCCCCTTGAGTCCCAGGGTAATGGTCACCCTCTGTTCTTGTCCTGTTGCTGGGTTTGGGAGTATTTCAGGATTTCCTTTTCCTTCCAAAAAACCTGTGGAGCAAAAGCTTATCTTGGCACAGCTGGGCTCATCCAGGAGAAGTTTGTGGAGACCTGGTCCCAGTCGTGTCTCGGCTTTGGACACCTGAGAAACAGGGGAGGACCAGGGAAGGGCAGTGCTGCTCCTCCAAAGCATCGAGGGGTTCATGAGTTGAACTGGACTGTGCAGGGGACGGGGAAAATGGCTGGGCTGCCACTGCCCTCTGATGGAAAGCAGGTGAATGCAGTCCTGCTAAGCAGCCCTTCCTTTTCTCCC